GGGTATCAAGATAACAAAGGGAAAAGGGAGACAAAATGAGAAAGACTCAAAAGTGCGCGTGAAGCTCACTTAGGCTGCCCGACAGGCTGCGGAACTTGGCACCGTTGCGGTAGTGGATGCTACGTGCTACAATGGGTGTGATGGCCGGAGAAGCCGAGTCAATGGGTGTCGAATCAGTCATGGCTGGAGCGGTGACTGTGACGACTGGTGCAGTAACTGTGACCATGAGAATGTCTGTAACAGTGACGACGTTGTCATCGCCAGATGGCGATTGGGTAGGCGCAGTACCGGGACGGCCAGTGAGAGTCGGGATAGCAAGTCCAGTCGAGGCAAGTCCAGTCGAGCTTGGAAGGGTCGAATTGCCTTGCGGCTTACGACTAGCCGAAGGAAGGGTGGTGAAGGAGGCCGGAGGTGTAGCAGTAAGCTTGGAGGAAGGAGCTGGTGTAGGCTTGGAAGAAGCAGGTGAACCGCCAGATCCGGAACCGGAACCGCCAGTCGGCTGAGCAGAGAAGATGGGACCGTACTCGCCCTTGACAATGTCGGTCATCTTAGCGGTTCGCGCAGCAAAGTTGGAGACAGCAGCTGTCTCGGCATCCTGCTGGACAAGAGCAAACTTCGCCGACGCTTCCTTGGAGGCCGTTCCGTTGGAAGCAACATCAACGTCCATGCAAGTAGTGTACCATTCGTCTTTGCCCACCGGGAGGCCTGGGTCCGCGCCAGGCTTGGTGTTCCACTGCCAAACCCAATACAACGTGTATGGCTTGCCCACTTCAGCGGTCTCGGGAATCTGGACGTCCGTTTCGCAGAACATTGCATAGTTGCCTGGCGCGCCCTCGACAGCTTGACCAAGGGCATAGTTGGGAAACTCCTTCGCACGCTGCTTGGACTTCGGCGTGTTGTTCATCTCGTAGCATCGACCATCATCAAAATCCTGCGTTGCCAACAGCTTGCCGTGCCCATTTCCACCTTTGCCATCTTTATTCCAGTGAATAACGGTGGCGAGCGTCTCATCTTCCTTGGGCTCTGTGGTACCGTAGACAAATACGGTGCCACCCATATCCGGCTTCCCAAGCATGCGCCCAACTGGCTCAGTGACGTGTCCATTTTCCATGTACCGTAGTGCAACAAAACCACCTGGTGGTGTCTTAAGACGCGGGTACTTGTCTTGAGATTGGACTGGCTTCGTCTGACCTGGATGGCAGAGCGGTGTAGTGTCGTCGATGAATGCTTTGCCTTGAGCTGCGGGTAGGTTGAAGTTCATGGATTTATCTCCGTTGTATCCTGGGTCAGTCTTTGCGATGTATCCTCGAGGGTATCCATATTCGCCGACATAGTTGCCTTTGGCGTCGATATTGCGCATCTGCTCGATCCAGCTGTGACCTGTCGCGAAGGGCGCGGCAGCTAGCATGAGGGCGATCGTTGACAGAGTCTTGGACATGTTGCTTGTGTTCTTCTTAAGTTGTGGAAACATGCTGGAATGAGTGTGATCTTGGCCTGCAAGAAAGGTTTGTAGAATGAATGTTAAGTAGAAACTTCGACGAGGGAATTTTATAACCCCAAGATAGTGATGCGAGTACACTGTGAAAGCCTGTACAGAGTGAACGGGGTGACTGAGAGCGTCTTCACTTGGCAGGCAACAGTGCTATTGTTCAATAACAATAGAAGTGCTAGCCTGTGAAGTCAACACAGCGCATTCCAGACCCGCAAAGAAGAAAGGGAATAACTGAACGGTACAATGTTAAGAAAGTGAAGACACAACACGACCCGGATGTCAGGCCAAATACTACATTCACGCGGCCACACGTCTCTATTGAGACGTGTCCAAGCTATGAGACAGGCGCTGTAAAACATTGGGAAAATCTCCGTCCTACGCAGAAGGAAGCGACAGGAGCCAATAGAGACGGACGTGGGCTAGGTGTCGAAACGCAGCGCCAGTCCAAGTGACCCACGATTAACGCCCTCATGCCTGTATTGTGTGGCCTTTGAATCTGCGTTTCAACGGTGTACCTCCACCGTAGCCGCCGGCCATGGCGTTCCCGATGCCGCAGTAGTCCTCGCGGCGTAGCGCCCAGACTTGAAGCTTTCCGTTACTCTTCCGAGAAAAGATCTACCTCTCGCGTTCGGCAGATTGTAGCCTTGGAGGGCCACGCTAGCCCTGCCTCAGACGTTGCTGTGGGGCGTGGAGTATCAGAGGACCGTGTGCCGTTGATCTACGACACAAACACGGCAGCTAGGCATCGTCTAGATCCCTATGCAATTGCCATCTCGTGTGGTGGGCAAGTTCAGACAAAGAATGGTGGCCTGTCGCGCGTTGCTTCCGAGGCCATTCCGCGGCCATGGTCCACAGAAAGACCAGTACCTAGACCTTCTGCGGTGGTCGGAAATAACCAAGAAAAGCAACCGAGGTGTCCCGGAGCCCAATCTGCACCACGCGAGGACAGGCCGTTGTATGTCGGAGCGGCGCGTGGACAAGGAAGGTTGAACCGTAAGCGACGGGTGGTGAGTAAAAGATGTTTGGTGACAACGATCCGCTCTGTTTCAGGTGAATGCCGAGACCAACTTTGATTGGCCACAACCGCACACGCTACGCTCAAAGTCAAAATCCAACCACGACAATATGATTGGAGCACATTGCTCTATTCACGATGCTGGCCTAGCTAGTACCCAGGTACTTTTTGTACGACCAGATTGCCGCCCGCCCAATCTCTATTTTAGACAAGCGAAATCCCAGACGCCTGGCCACGGCATCGGGCGGGTCCCTACCGCAGAAAAGAAAATAACGGTCACTGGCGAGATGAGCATGCTAAATGTGCCGAGCAAGCTCATCCACACGTTATGACTTCTTATCGATATGTCGCGTTTCATCGCTAAAGGTGCGGGGCGGGAGATACAACGGCACAACGGGAGTCTCACTCGGCACCCCACCTGTCAAAACAACTTCGCAGATTACAGGTACCTCACCCGAAGCTAACTATGTCGGACTACTCTGTGGGGTGATCTCCCGAGGTGGCCATTCAAACGTGAACTGCCTGGTGTGCTAAGGCTAGGAGTTCATGATCGGGCATCATCCTGAGCAGTCAAACTTTGGAACTTGTTCGTTCGCGATCGGCATACTTCCAGGCCTTCTCGTATACCGAATAGTTGGTAATACGATATGAGTCAGTGAACTTGTGAGTTTGACAGAAGGTCCTAGTGAACGCCAGCACTCGGTGATTTGGTTTCCCGGGATGCCTTTTTGCGGCTTTTCGCATTACTTCGCATTATATCCGTTGTCGGACAATGTAGTGAATCTTCGTCCGTCTATTTTAAAAATCAATCCATGCACCAAGGGGAAAAGGTCAAACAACACTACCCATTATTAGCCAGCCCACTCACACACGGCACTCATGCCTCCAAAGAACTTGGTTGGTCCAATCACCAGAGCTGACCATTCCCTAAGCTATACTTACCATGGAAGAACATTCAATTACAAGACAGCAAGTATAAGCCAAGTAATGAACCATCACAGACATGTATACCGAACTACTGTGAACTCTGTACAGCAATAACTATCTTGTCTCGCAATTACTTCATTGGACTCTACAAAGAGTTCATAGTGTATGGGAATCCACCTGAGTTAGGAGTTGTGTGATGGGTGTTTGAACAGGGTGAATTATGGAGAGAGAGGAGTGACAGGGCAGGAAAGACAGAAGGACAAGGTTGTGAAGTTGAGGTAAGCCATTACACAAATATGTCACAACCCAAGCTTCCATGTTGAAGCGATAGAATATGACGAATCACTATCATTGCATTCACGACATCGCATCACCATCCTCCCACACAAAACCTTTCCGCGCCTCCCTTCTCCGCTTCCCTATCCTAATCCCAATTACAGCTCTCAAAATGCCGCGCCCGACCCCTAATCCAACAAATTGCATATGCGCCGCTGAGATGCATACATGGGGCTGTGGCTGTCATAAATACATATACGTGATGACGTGTCTGGGACCTACATATCATGACTCACCGCTTATCTGTGGTTTTACGTTACATTGGGAGCGGTTGTGCGATCAGTGCTTGGGAAATGTTGATGAGGTGGAGAGAGCGTGGGTAGAGAGAAGGGGGGTTTGGTTGCATGTGACTGGTGCCGGTGAGGGGTCGGAGGGGGAAGATGAAGATTAAATTGGAGGAGAGGTAGGTACACTGCTCGATCTGCAAGAAAGTGATCTGGGGACACCTAGATGGTAAGCGAAGGATTCGTCGACAAGAGTTAGAGCAGATGTCATCGCAACATCCTCTTCTGCCACCACCACTCTCCACTATGGTGGAAGGGGCTAAAAGTAGGCGGCTTCCGCTCCCAAGCGATTCACAGCGAGAGAAGAGGCCTGCTCGCGGAAATTGACAGTGATCACCTTGGAGACGACTCTCATCGGTACAAATCTGTCATATGTCGTTAAATATCTTACTATTTCACATTCATGTTCGCTCAATAGTCACAATGGCCAAGCCAGAGTGCAGTACCGCAGTCATTCACCCTGTCCCAGAAGCCACCGACCAAACCGCCAACTAAACGACCCGCTGAGCTACCCGAGAAATTGCTTAACGAAACTTTTGAAAACATACTGCTCAAGACGATAGATTTACAAGAAGACCGTGCTAGAACTGGAGGGACAAGATCGTGTTTTGTTTTTGGTATACTTGATGTGATCGTCATCAGAATTATGGAGTGTTTCCTTGTCGACCACATCAACAACGTTGTCAACAGGATCAAGCATTACAGGATGCGAGGGCCACTCGTGATTGAAACACGTTCCCAAAAGAGGTCTATCTTAGTAGTGGCTAGTTACAGTAGGTACAATTTGGGACAGAGGCGAGTCGGCCATGCCGTACATGAATGATGCATGAGACTACATATATGCATCGACAAGCTTATTCGGGGTTATTATCCACAATGAAACGAAACCCGACATGTTAAACTTGGCGAATGCTGACTTGATCTTGACTGCGATGGGTTGCTGTTATGATATGGAGATCAGGGCCCTCGCTTATCGGCCGTGTGGACCCTGCGCCGCCGATCAGAGGTTCTGGCCAGCCATGCACAGAAAGAAGACGCCCTTTCCAAATTCCCTTTTCTTTTGTCACCCACCCGTCACAACAACGTATCCACACCCACGCACAATACAGACCCAAAATGGCTTTCCTCCGATCATTCAATTCCAGTATGAGTATACGTGACATACGAATTTGACCTGCAGCCCACGCGACCGCTTGCTACATTACACCCCTTCGGCCTATCTTTAGATAACGAGGGCAAGTGTTTGCACGCTTGTATAATTCTACGCGGCGGAATACGCTTGCGTGTTTTTGTTTTGTTAGAGAAGCTAGACATATACACACACGCCTGTCCACTTACTCTGTTCTGCTAATCGCATCGACACTGCTACAATGGACGCCACCGAAAGCGACTCGTCTGTGCCTTTAGCCAGTGACTCCGTCTTCAGCATCTCGCGACCCTCATCAGCCTCGTCCATCCATCCATCTCATACACCGAAAGATCTGCCAGCGGGCGCACCGATAGCCGACTTATTCGAGGTTCGACATACACCGACAGCCGGCCGCGCTGTATTCGCCACTCAAGATATCGCAGAGGGCACGCTCGTGTGGCGCTCGGAAGACCTCACACTATCCGTCCTTCTACGCGAGTATCGGCGGGAGGTGTGTGGACAGTGTTTTTCGTACGATTACGGACGAGATCTGGATGTGCGGGACAAGACGGTGGGATTCGCCTTTTGCTCATCAGCATGCCAGGACAAGTGGCGGGAAGAGAATGGAGAGGTCGGTGTTCAGGCATGGGCTGCCGTTGAGAATCTCGTCAGAAAGAGGAGCAAGGAGGATAGCGACATGGTGGATATTGATTTGCCGCGACCAAAGGTCAAAGAGATCAAGGATGCATGGGACAGCGTTGCTGCACAAGCAGCGCTGATAAGGATGGCAAGAGAAGGAGACGAGGCCAGCAAGACAGACAATGAAGCTGCGGTACCAATAACGAAACAGCATAAACGCGCATTGCAGAAAGCACTACAGGAGCGCATCACGCCCGACGTGATGAGTTTCTGTGTCAGCGGTATTGTTTGGCGATACCTTCACCCTGAGCAGTGGGAACGCGTGCAAGCGCTCGCACCGGATAAGACACCCTATCACAGCCCCGACGATCTCGCTGCGTTCACAAGAACCTATCTGCACCTTCTCGCCATCCTCCCCCAGCCCCTCCTACCCCTCGTTACGGCAGAGACGTTGATAATGCTGTCATCACGCGACTCCCATAACTCATTCGGCATCCGCTCCCTTGATGACGAAGGATCAGAATTCTTTGGTTACGGATGCTGGCCAGCTGCAAGCTACTTCAACCACTCATGCGGGCCAAACATCGAAAAGAACAGGGAAGGGAGAGCATGGTATTTCAGGGCTGGCCAGGACATTAAGCTTGGACAAGAGCTATGCATCACGTACCTCAGCGGGGAGGAGAGGAAGCTGAGTCGCGGGAAGAGAATGTTGAGACTTCAAAAGACGTGGGGCTTTGATTGTGGGTGCGAGAGGTGCGAGGCGCTGTAGTGTTACAAACAAACCATCACGTGTAGTTTGAAATGCAAATATACCAATAGCTTATGCGGAGCTACTATTGCCAAGGGCGGGAATGTCCACTCTCGGTGCCGGCACGCTGGGCTCGTGATTATCAGATGAAGAAAAGGCTGCAGTGTGCAGGCTGGGATGCTTGGTAAGTAAGCGGGGCGTGGATTTGGGACGCGACAGAAGATACGTATGCCAGTCTCGTGGGCGGGTTTGGTGATGATGGATCTGCATTGTGTAATCTGGCAGGACGCCGCAAGCGTCCAAAAGTGTTTCAGCCGGGCCATGGGCGTGGCAGTGATTTGACGTCTTCAAAGCGCGTTCCCACTATGCAGTGACGTAACGGATCCGCTGCTAGTTGGACCCTGCAGCTAGCAGCTAGTAGCAACACGGTTGCAGGTTGGGTTGCGAGAAATTGAACAAGACAGGCCCGGTTGAGTTGTGAGCTTGGAAGAAGCTCGCCGCCCGAGGCGTGGACAGCGTATGCATCGCGCAACAAAAGCATCATGACATGCCGAATGCCCTGGTCCGATGTGCTTTTGTTGTCATGACTGTGGTGGTAGTTGGTTTGGTGGCGGCGTGCCTAGCAAGCTCCTCAGCCTCTAGCTGGAGCCCGCTCGACATCGCGACACGACCTGGTGCTGGGAGAGGCTGCCGGCGATTCCGCGGCGAGCCACTATTGCTGAAGGGTGTTCGCGCAGAGGGTAGCGTCTTACGCCGCCCAAGTAAAGAGACAAATAACAAGTCTTACGCACAAGACCCTTCTCTGTGATATATCGACCTTTTGCGTCTTCTTCTCTTCTCTCCACCTCTTCCCGCTGCACCTGTCCGTCCTACTGCCTTGTCCGTCTGCCGCGTCAAACCGCAAAGCCTGATCATCACCGCCCAGCTATTGCCGCCGAGCCCCAACCCGACCCCAGCAGAGTAGCAGAGTAGCAGAGCACCCGTTGCTGTAATTTTCCCGCCTGCAAGCCTGCGTCCTTTGCTTTCTTAACCTGAAGCGAACCCTTGCCCCGAGCTAGCGGAAGCTGCGAGATCTACCTGCCCGACGGGACGCCCAAGAAAGCGATACGAGCGTCATACCTCCACACCAGAGACCATAGAACAAGCTCGCGAACCTATCACGAGAGCGGCGCCCTCCTAAGCCAGAATCAAGCGAAACAAGGCAACGACCATCGAGATCTCCGTGCCAGTGCTGCTACCACATGCGCTCTTCGCGAGGCGGACGAAAGAAGATGGGCCTTCCAGTGATTGAGGTACGATATATGATTTCTTGTAATACACACGCCCAATTCCTTCAGGCTTCAAATGCCATGTCACCGCTCTCTTCCATGTCGCTCTTAGATTGAGTTCAGTGCGTGCGGTCGAGCTTGTTTGGCGATGATGTAGCCTGCATCGTCATTGGCGCACTGACGTCTTATGACGCACCTCGCTCCTCTCTTGTTCCGGCCTCACCTCACTCCTTCCTTCGTTCATGCATGACCTTCTTTTCAACCAGTGGCTTTCCCTTTGACTTTCCCCTCACCACAAGTCATCACGTTGCACTACCGCAGCCTCCTTCTCTTCTTCCACTATACCCGGTTGCACGCGCTTGTTTTTCCTGCTCTGCCAACCCTCTTGCTCCTCGACCCCGCCATCAACAGCGGCTTGGTAATCCCTTTTGCCGCACAACACACTAAACATGGCCGCGATACAGAATTTTAAGAACTTCCTGCGCCATGGCAAGCAGGCCCGCCAGAATGCTGAGCCGACGACCAATGTCTCCAATGTGCACGCCCAGTCCCAACATCAACGGTACAACCAGCATCCGGATCCAGTACATCATGGCATCTCAGAACCCGCAATGGACCACAAGCCCCTTCAACACCAGGCTGCTCCCCACGGCGACTTTTCCGTCGGCGCTGGCGCTGGCGACAACCGCAACATTGCCGCTCAAGCCGGCGACGCTGCAGCCCACGCCGCAGGTAACCAGCAAAAGAAGCAGAACGCAGCCAAGAATGCCGGTGTAGACCCTTCTGTCCTTGAGCGTATCGTCGCCGAAGAGCGCGAGGCCAAGGGTAAGCTGCCCAGGTATCCTGGCCTCGAGAGGTGGACACTACTGGAAAAGATGGGCGACGGCGCCTTCAGCAACGTATACCGTGCACGAGACACTACCGGCCAATGGGACGAAGTCGCCATCAAGGTCGTGCGTAAGTTTGAGATGAATTCACAGCAGGTTAGTACTACCCCAATCCCTGCCCATCTTGCACATTTCCTTGTCTCATCACCCCCTCCCTGAACCATCACGCATGAGCAGTTGGGTGTTTTTGGACGTTACCAACGTGAGGCCGGTATAGGACAAGCATGTGCATCCGGACTTCAAGACGCCAAAAGCAGCCGAGGTGCGATACTAGAACCCCCCGATGCTCGACCAGAGTAGCATCCTCTCCCCATAACGACTGGGCTTATAAGGGCAGACACTAACTGCCCTCTAGAGAGCGAACATCCTCAAGGAAGTACAAATCATGCGCCAACTAGACCACCCCAACATCGTCAAGCTCATCGACTTTTCCGAATCACGACAGTACTACTACATTGTACTCGAGCTGTGCCCCGGAGGCGAACTGTTCCACCAGATCGTCCGTCTGACGTACTTCTCCGAGGACCTTTCCCGCCACACCATCATCCAAGTCGCCAAAGCTCTGCAGTACCTGCACGAAGAGGCAGGTGTTGTACATCGGTTCGTGTGCACAGACCACTCTGCCAAGAGACTTGCTGACGTCATCTCAGAGATATCAAACCCGAGAACCTTCTGTTCTACCCCACTCCATTTGTCCCTACGCGCAACCCAAAGCCCAGGGGTCCTGACGACGAAGACAAGGCCGATGAAGGCGAGTTTGTCAAGGGTAAGGGTGCTGGTGGAATTGGTCTTATCAAGATTGCCGATTTCGGTCTTAGTAAGGTCATCTGGGACACCCAAACTATGACACCGTGCGGTACCGTCGGTTACACTGCCCCTGAAATCGTCAAGGACGAGCGTTACTCCAAGAGTGTCGACATGTGGGCACTAGGCTGTGTGCTTTACACACTGCTTTGTGGTTTCCCTCCATTCTACGACGAGTCTATCCAGACTCTCACAGAGAAGGTCGCCCGTGGCCAGTACACTTTCCTCTCGCCATGGTGGGATGAAATTTCCAAGTCTGCCCAGGACTTGGTTTCTCACCTTCTCACTGTAGATCCTGAGAAGCGATATGACATTAATCAATTCCTCAACCACCCATGGATACGGGAAGCCGACGAGCCGACATACTCAGCTTACGACGCACCACCCCTGGCAACACCCGCTGCTGCCAAGAAGGAGCGACTTCAGCCAGACTTCTCACATCTCGAGTCTCCAGGCGCTCGCCGCATGGACTTCCGCTCGCCTGGTGCCGTCAACCTCCGAGAGGTATTCGATGTTAGTTATGCTGTGCACCGACAAGAAGAAGAGGGCAAGAGAAAGAAGCAGTTCAAGCAAGGGTACCGCGGCGCCAACGCAATGAACTCTCTCAACGCCCTCGACGAGAACGAGGACGACGATGAGTTCGCCGCTGAGTCCGCACCATACGATCCATCATCACAACATCCACCGGCCAAGCTTCCAAAATCACAAGGTGCTGATGTATCCGGCATGGAGCAGAAGCTGCGCAACACAACACTATCCGCCGCCGCACAAGCACGTCAGCAACAAACAGCACCGCAACAACGTGGATACGGTCAACACTCTCCAGCCGTTGCGGCCGCAGCTAAGCGCCAAGTCAAGAACAAGGGAGCGTTTGAGCTCAACATGGACAGCTCAACACTACTCGGCCGCCGAAACAAGAAGGGCCCGGAGCCAAGCGGGCTAAGAAACAACATCTCCGTCGGTGGAACATGACAATCATCGTCGCTCGCAAAAGATTGGTGAGGGTCAGGGTCGCGCAGTAGCGGCATGGTGAGACGATGTGTCATGATGGCGTTTTTGTGATTTCTATCTCCTTGATCACTCATTTCCTCCCCCTTGTCCGGTTACGAATTTTGGTTATATCATGTATGCGAGATGCCGATCTCCTCTCATGGCATAGTTTATGGTCACTTCTGTCCTCTTCTTGAAATGCGGTACTTCGGACACGACATATATGAGCATGAGTATGTCGTTTCTCAAGAGGAGGGACTCATGCACGACTTGTTTTGGACTCACGGTGGGAAGGAAGTAACGGATGCGATATATGCCATGATACGGCATCTTGTCGCACAGATAGCATGAATGATAGATAATGTTGAAAAGCTGCACCCTTAAGACTTGATTGTATGTGATGTGATTTGATATGTATCTGAAGATATAAAGAGTTTGCATTAATTAAAACGATGCTGTGTAAGCGATCAAACCGGTCTAGCCACTCTCGTTCATTCCAATGATATATGCAGCATCCATACGAACAAACGTACATGTGAGCAAAAAGATCAAAGCGGTCATGTATTAATTAATCGTCCGTCCCTCGAAGAAGAGACGACGAAAAGGTAACGTGCGTGTATAAAACAGCGAAGAAAACACCACACTACCTCCTCGGCACCGGTCCGACGCTCAACGCAGACAACCCACCACTCCCCGGCCCGGGCGTAACCGGCGTCATGGACCCATCCCTAGGTGTCGCAGGCGCAGGCGTAGGCGCCCTTGAGGGCACATTACTCCTATTATGCGCCATATGCGCCTTTACAAGATGACCCGCACACAGCGCGCTGTTGAGGGAGAGTTCACCAGCGAGGACACCAGCGGCGATGACGCGAGCGAGTTGTCTCGCATTGTCGCCTGGGGAAGTAGGATGAGCGCCACGTACACCGAGGAGGTCGAGCATAGCGGATTGGGGTTCTAGAATAGTTCCGCCGCCGATGGTGCCGACTTCTATTGAGGGCATGGAGACTGAGATTTGGAGGTTTCCGTTTACGCTAGGGGTGGGATGTTAGTGATGTTTACTCCTTATATGTGTGTAAGAGAAAGACTTACTTGTGCATGATGGTGATGCAGTTTGCGCTTTCGACGACTTGAGCTGGGTCTTGGCCGGTAGCTAAGAACATGGCTGCGACAATGTTTGCTGCGTGGGCGTTGAAACCACCCATTGCACCTGCCATTGCGGATCCGATAAAGTTCTTCGAAATGTTCATCTGGACGAGGTCTTCGACTTCGCACTTGAGTACCGATTTGACTACGTGACCGGGGATAACGGCTTCGGCGACAACGCCCTTGCCACGACCGTCGATCCAGTTAATGGCGGCCGATTTCTTGTCTGTGCAGTAGTTTCCAGAGACAGTGACAACACGCATGTCGTCGAAACCGCAGTCGTTTGCCATGACGTTGAGTGCATGTTCGACACCCTTGGAAATCATGTTCATGCCCATGGCATCGCCAGTCGTAGCCCGGAAGCGGACGTAGATGTTGGTACCGGCGATGGCAGACTTCATTGACTGGAGCCTGGCGAAGCGAGATGTCGAGTTGAAAGCGTCTTTCATGGTCCTTTGGCCCTCTTCAGAATCGAGCCAGTTCTTGGCTGCACCCGCGCGTACAAGGCTGTCAAATCCGATGCAAGGGCCACGGGTCATGCCATCCCCAGTGATAACGGTAACAGCACCGCCGCCAGCATTGATAGCCTTTGCACCACGCGAAGTAGAAGCGACAAGTACACCCTCAGTCGTAGCCATGGGAAGGAAGTAGTTTTGGCCGTCGACCAGAATGGGTCCGGCAACACCGACAGGAAGGGGAAGGTATCCAACGACATTTTCACAGCAAGCGCCGTGGACAAGATCGTAGTTGTAGTCTTTGTATGGCAGCAGTGATCGCTCGAGCAGTGTTGATGTTTCCCTTGTAGCGTGTGTTCGTGAAACAAGACCACGTCGGATCTTAACAGCGCGGGTCTTGTCACCTAGGGTCTTCTCCAGAGCGTAGCCAGGGATCTTTCCCCTGAGTGACATCTCGATGAGCTCTTCGTCGGTCATCCTAGGTGCTTGCTTGTCCTTGACCATCTGTTCAAGAATTTCATAGGGGCGGTTCGGTTGTCGTTGTTCCTCTTCTGTGGGAGGGGCTGGGATTTCCTGGAGACGGTGCGGAACTGGTGCGAGTTGTGTCAATGGTTGCAAATGGCGGTTTTGCTCATCAGGACCAGGTGTGCGTGGTGGAGTGGGCATGGCCAAGGAAGACAGACGGGGAGTTGACGGTACAGTGGGTGCACCATCCTGGACTTCAGACGGAGACGGGGGCTCGAGTGGCTTGTGGGGCTCCTTGATGGTCCAGCGAGCGGCATTGAAGAGGTAACCGTTCAGGACGACACTCATGACGAGAGCGAGGACGATCCACTTGCTGAGGAATGGGTCTTCCAGACTCTTCAGTACGCCATCGACGATGTGAGTGCTGATGTTGTTGCCGAACGCATACTCAGAATTGGCAAGGGAGGGCTCGGCGTAGTGGATTGAGGGGAATTCGAGCTCATACTTGATCGGCATGAGGATGGTGACAATGGTTGATGTAGCCGTAGCCTTGGCCTGCTCATAGATGTGGTCAAGGCCGCTTCCAGCAACCTTGAAGGGGTCCAGAGGAGGTGTGACACCTACGCCAGAGAACTTGGTAGGAGCGAGGCCGAACTTGAGAGTGACAACGTTGAGGACGTTTACAAGGACGAACCCAGCAACCATGAAGATCTTGAACTTCGGAACAGTAATCTTCTGTCCAAAGACAGTAGTGGTGTTGTTGACGACCTGGACGTCGCGCGCATTGGGCCAGTCATTGTTGCGGGCAACATTTTCAGCGACCTTTCCGTCTACACCGTCGTCCTCGAGGGCCCTACGAAGCGCAACGTGACGCTTGATGCGGTTGATCTCGAGCTTGATGGTGAGAATGGCAGTGTAGAAAGTCAGGAGCATAAGTGCATCAAAGAACAGGATCCAAGCACCAAGGAAGCAGAACTGTCGGAGACCACCCTGAATGCCAGACATGGCACCAGCAACTAGGATGAGGATCTCGAAGAAGTAGTCGCGTACAATCTCAAAGCCAGTCCTCTTGATGGCAGTCTGTACGGCCGACTGGATGGTCACTCGCTCGCCGCGCTTCTCTTCGGTGGCTCGTCGGCCGTCCAAAGAGGCAGACAAGACAGCCTTGGTGAGGACGATGGGCTTCTCAAATCCAATGATGACAACCAAGAAGGGCAAACCTTCAGAAAGCAGAATGACGTTGATGGGAACGCCGAGGTAGGTTGTGATAGCGAGACCAAACAAAAAGGCAAAGGCAGACTGGAGTAGGACGGCGGTAGCCAGCCAGAAGTTTGATCCCAGGCGCCTCATGGCGAGGAAGAGCGAGACAAATGTCAAGTGCATGGCGATGTAGCCGAGGGCCATGATGACAATGTCGCCAGTGTCTGCGTTCTTGAGCAAGTCGACAAACGAGGTCCATGATTCTACGACCCAGTTGCGCACGCCAGTACGCGCATTTCCGTTCTTGGAAGCCCTCATCATCCACTTCTTCTCCTCACGTGTGCCTTCCTGCTCGGAACCCTGGGCCTGTGTGACATCTGCTGGGGCCGAGATCTCCTGCATGGCCCCGAGAAAGTCGGCGGCTTGCGGGTAGGGGACGGAGAAGGCGAGCGAGGTGTCATGGGACAGAGTGGAGAAGGAGCTGGATGAGCTGGGAAGGAGCTCTGCAGAGACATTGCGGGGGACAGATTGTTGCGACGGGGCAGAGTTGACAGTGCTGGATTCGGGGAAGACGAGGGTTACAAGGGCAAGTTCCTGTGCAGGCTGATTTATTAGACGGTTCGCTTGCACTATGCGGGGTCAATTTACCTTTTCTTTTGAGATAGTAGGCCTGGCCTCTACTGCCTCCCAGTGCCATGACGTCTCTTCTCCAACCCTCAGTCTCTTGCTACCAGTCAATAGTGTCTGAAAGTCTACTCGGCTGGCGGCGGCCTCCTCTATGCCGCTCTCCAGTAGACCTTTGTCGAGAACGCCTAGGTACGAGTAACTTGCGACGAAAGCGATGGTTACAATGGTGTGAATCGGGTGAGTGCATGCCTTCTTTGCGATAGACAGCAGAATTGGCGAGCAACGACGGTCGAACCAGGTCGGACTGGTCTTCTTCTGGTCGCCCGTCGACTGCCAGCGGCTTGTGAGGTATCCGAGCATGTTGGCGGACCCACTCTGGGTGAGTCGGTGGAAAACGAGGCGGGGGCCGTTTGGAGCGTTGCTCTACGCGATGTTGCCGAGCGTGGCTGTGCGCACGCTGCCGTGGACTTGAAGTAGATTGCGTGCTCAGGTGCAAAAAGTGCAAAAAGTGCTGTGCCATGGTTAGCATTGTTTGTTGTTCCTAGGGTCGTTATGCACGTCTAGTGCGCCGTACCCGCGTGTATAGGCTGCAAAGAGTGGTCGAGCCAGTCGTCGTGGGCCTGGAAAGTGCCCAGAATACGGCAATTAGAGGAGTCAACACAGGCCTGGAGACGCCTCGTTCGCTCGTGAGAGAGTTGTAGGCAAAGAGGGACTCGGGCGGCTTGTATTATGCAGATGAGCCCCTGCCGGAGCGTGCGTGCTGTTCCGCGACTTTTTTGCGCTATGACCCGACAGCACTCACCGCGCTTTGTAGAACCCCGGCGAGGGGACAAAAACCTGATTCGTCCAATAGACGACGAGGTGACAAGGCAACCTGGAAACAAAGCCTTCTCGACCTTGATGCCATGATCATGTTCCATGCAGTGAGGGCCTAGTATTGTTCAACCACCAACTTCTGACTGCGCTTTTCCATGGTGGCTGACTTTGTATAACCGTGGCTGCGTTCTGGAATAGAAACATGTCATTCTTCATCTTTTTGCCTTATCGTCGCCTCATGCACCAAGCCCTGCGCCTGGATCCTATCGTACCTCATGTTGCGTGTCTCTCGGCGCTGCGAGCCGTGAAATGTCGGCAGTGGCGGTGTGATGGACCCGACGCCACGATAGGGGCCTTGAGTGGTTAATCGATAAGGGATAGGAGAACCATAATGTCAGTATATGTATGTAAGTAGTTATAACCACTCGTTTAGATTGATTATTGCTTCTTTCCTTTTCAGAGTGTCTTCTCCTACTCTTTCTTACTCAGGTACTGCCCTTGAGTAGTTTCCCGTTACCGTTATTGTCACGCCGCACCCCAGACGCCACATAGGATGCGCCATAGACGATGACGCGCATGCCACGACATGCCTGCACCTGTGCCTGCAAAATTGTTCGCTGCATGCAGTACGTCCAGCCAATCTCAACGGCTGCCGGGTGATCTTCAGGGGGTTGCATTACCGTCCGCGGCTTGGCCTTGCTTTCAGCTGTGGCAAAAGTCGAAAAAAATAGGGCTGAAAGAGTGAAGACGTCGAAACAAAAACTGCACTCAACGAAACCGGCTTTTCTGAAGTGTAAGATATAGAGAAAGGATAAACAAGAACTGCGACGCCAACGCCTCATCTACCCGTGCTTTATGACCGCCAGAACAGACCGCCAGTGCAATCTGACAGACGATAACCTAATAAGCAGCCCATGTCTATATCGAATTCTAGACGAGATGATCACGAACGCCTCTCCCAAACATGCGACGCCTTGACCCGGTACTCACGTCGTGCCGAACTTGTCTGTCATCGGCACGTCGCCGTTGGTAATCTGGTTAAGAAACTCTGGGTCGGGTTTGTACAGCATAACATGAAAGTGCTCGACTGCGTGGACGCTCTTCAGGCTCTTCCAGTTCTTGAACCAGACGAGTTCCTTAACCTTCGGGGCGAAAGTCTTTTGCACATAGTCGTGTATTTGCTTTTTTGAAACTTCGGTAGAGAGGCCCGTCTCGGGGTCATCTTCAAGCTCAAACTTTGTCCAGACAACCAGGTGCACAATGTCGGAGTCAATGCCGTATGGCCAGTCGTTATAGAGGATCTTGATATCGTCTGACATAATCAGCCATGGTCCATACGTGATCTGTGGGGAAGCGGAACATACCGGTGAACTGGAATGGCCCCCCTCGCGGCTCCATCGTCGTCCACTTCAACCGTTCGTTGACAATGAAATTCATGATGCTGCCATACTCCTTCTCGAGATGGTATGTGAACTGACGATACCGTCTGAGCTCACTGGGCAGACGATGGAACTTGTCCACCCTATCGTTCTCTGATAAAGGTCGACTCATCAGCATTGCGCGTATCCGTATCAAAGTAGATGAACATACGGACTATATCCCGCACCTCAGCCCACGATAAGACCTGATACTCCTCATCTGGCGTGCCAATAATCCGCTTGTCCTTCTCACTACATCCAGTCAAGAAGTCGGGGCATTCGCTGGGCCGCTGGTCCGCAGGCACATTGACCAGCCAGAACGGCAGTTCCTCGTTTGGCATGGCGGCGGTAATCTAGACCCGCCGCTGTGATGATGGGTTGGAATTGATGATGGTGGGCGTCAACGTACGATCTGACCCGCCAAGGTTATATGGGCAGGGACGTGGTTTGAAGAACAAGGATGGAAACAGACATGTAGGAGCACTCGGGAAAGGTGGACATCGGCGGTCGAGGCAGTGACGACGGGTGGGACCGCGCTGCAGCTTGCGTAGGGCCGTAGTCTGCATTTTGTTATGTTTTCCATGCAGCGGTCCGACCATACAGCTTCATCGACGGTACTAGCCAGACACGTGTGCATATTGGCCATGACTTGCTCTCCATCTTGGTCTGCAAAGATTCAGTGTCGTGACGGTTGATGTTCACCTGCAGGCTGCGGCAGCGCGCACAGCTCGCTTTTGTACCTCTCAAACATCGACAATCGAATCTCGACCCATTGTTCACATGCACGACAATATCCCAGGGCTTGTCGCCTCACCAATCAGTCTTATATGTACCTCGTCTCAGTTGCCTGTTAATCTCACGCCGCTCCACCGCCATGTGGACTGCGTGATGGGGCGCAAGGATCCCCCGGACCCGCCTCGGCCTCCTATTGGCCTGACGTCTACGCCCGCTCCGACCTGCGAAACATCCGAAAGCCAGCACGCTGGTTGACCCCTCTCACGACAATTTCCATCGTCGAAAGACGTGTGTTTGACACCTGTCTAGCCCGGGCCATGTTGCACCCCAGGGTTTACGATGACATCGCCTAGTGTTGTATGGTATGGGTGTAGATAGATGCAGTGTTAAGTATTGCCACTTCCGCTGATGTTGTCTCCTTCACCACTTCCTTTCGTATCTGCGCCTTGACGAGCTGCGTTGGTCCGCTGCAAGCTCATCTACATAATACCATCTCTTCTTTCCTTCTTTACTACGTCAGCTTCACTTGGTGTCCCACGTGCTGTGCTCTGCCCCTGCCGCATCCAATCGACCCTCCCTCGTACACAGCGTGTTCCTGGTGCTTCCCGCCGTCACCAATCCGCTTCTCCACAACAAATTTCGCGAGTTGCGTGCAACGTTACCGTCCGCGTGACGAAACAGATATATTCCCTTGTCAAACCCTGGTACTATCTGGTCGTTTCGTCCTGCTATAATAGACATACATACCGGCACCCACTTTCTCGCCTGCGGCCGTGCACTAGCACTACACCATATACCGACTGTCTCATCACAAACCCTTCAACTAGTTCCTCATAAAGTTCGAAAGTTTCACTACCGCCAATCCTCTTGCGACGGCCTCAAGGCCACGACTGTCTCTACTGACGGAGATCCTCCGCCCACAAAACCACGAGCACCTCGCTGCTTCCCGCTGTCTACCTTTACCTCCATCATCCCTACACATCAACCCAACAAATACCACATGATGATCCGCGACCCACACTTCTGGAAGCGCTTCAGCGTCGCCGTCCACAAGGACGATCTAGCAAAAGAGGAACTAGCAAAGCAAGACGGAAAGAATGCGTACGTCATAACCAGCACCCTCCCCTTTTGCGAGCCCACACCACTTGGAACTCCCATTGCACAAACACCCATGGCAACGAGCCATTTACCACAATCACAATCACCACAAATGTCTCAAACAACGCGCTTGCGGCCCATCTCCCCCATCCGACCCTTCTCACTCGTCTTTTCCTCCGACCCAATTACCACCACTACCACATCCACGCAAGAAAAAGCGCCACCCTCCACCCCCTCCTCCAAGCAACAAAAGCGCCGCTCAAAACTCCACAAATCCCCCTCTACCAAGCCCCTTCTCCGCCCCGAAATCTTCGCCCCCATCCCCCCACCCACCCGCACAATCTCCATAAAAACAGAACACACAGCAATCACCTCCCGCCCGGGGACGCAGCGTTCAAACGCTACTCCCAGCATAGCCCCTGCCCCCTTCTCTTCCCGCCCCGGTACCCGGCGCTCCAACCTCGCCCCCAGCATCCGCACCACACAACAATATACCACATCCCCTCCAATCTCCCCCGCTCGTTCCTTCTTCCGCACAGGCAATATATCAGCACTTTCGCTGAGCCTGAGTGGAAGACCAAACTCGCGGTTTAATTTCGTAACGACCATTTCGGCTGATGTTGAGAATAGCGATACCTGGCTGGCTAGGCAGAAGAAGAAGGAGAGGCATAGGGCGTGGTTGTGTTGGGCGTTTTGGGGGGTCCTGGCACTTTTGATCGTGTCGGCTGTGGTCACGGTGGTGGTGTTGAAGGCGCATGGGATTGTGAAGTTCTGAGGGGGTCCAAGTGGGAGGGAGGGGCCAGAGGTGCAGTTTGGTGCTATCCTGATTTACCTTTTCTGGATCTGGGAGTTTTTAGTGGGGGTTGGAAAGATGGAAGACGGGAAAGGCAAGATTTCGGATTTTGCGGACTCAACTGTGGTATCTGTGATGCCCTCTCTGCTTTGGGATAACGGGTCTCTCTCTTCTTTTCTGGCTTCGACCATGGTGTCTGCGATGTCCGAGCTTTGGGACAGCCGTCTCTTTTGTCTCTTTTGGGGTTTTTTTCCTTGTCGTTTGGCGCTTTGCGCCCGGGACACCCACTTCATGATACCAGGTCGATTTTACCAGAGACCACACAATTACAATTAGCTTTTCTTTCTTCACCTTTTGGACTTTTAAGGTTGCTTCTACTCCTACTTCCCTTTGTTCTTCTCCATCTTCCTTTTGTTCATTGCGAAGTTTTCTGTTCCTTGTATATCGAGTAACATATACCATACCTTCAAATACCACGCCCACCTTCCTGTAGTATCAGGCCGGGATGTGGCACAAGTGGATACATACATACATACCAACACATACATGTGCTACTTTGTGAACGTGATCAGAAAAGACTTGGCTTTGATGCAACTACTACACAGCGACTTAACTCCGCCATTCCACATGCTGTGTGTTCTCCATGGATCTTGCTGGTACAATTACAAAGAATTTCTTCCCTTTTGCCCGCGCGCGCATAGACGCCGCTGAGGCCTATGATATCCCATATAATCACAGCCGTCAAACGTATGGTGGAATACGTTAAGCGGACATGTCTCAACGCCATAAACGCCCAACTCAATCTTCTGTTCCCGTCCCAGGCATACAGCTTGACCGCGCTTCTTCTCCAGCGCGACACAAGTCCATCCATCCACTTCCCACATCCTTCCCAGCCTAAAACCTGCTCTTGGCCGCGCCCCCAGCAGCAGGTTGGGGCGTTGGACTCCTGGACATGCTCCTGGCATCCCGACCTCTCTCCTTGAGCCACTTGCGAGTGCACATGTCGAGTTCGCGATCGAGTTCAGCGGAGGGTTCCTTGCGATGGATAAAGTTGCAGAAGCCGCCGCGGACACAGCCCTCGCCGCTATTAAGGCGACAGCAGGCCTCGCGGAAGTCTGTGACGGGGGATAGTTCGCAGTAGATGGGGCGACCGGCGTACCAGCGCGAGTTAAGCGCGTCGCAGGCTTTTTGCGCATCTTCTTCGTACTTGAAGCGGACGTAGACGTTGCCGATGAGATCTGTGGAAGGTGTGTCAGCGTATACTGTAACAGAGAGACGGCGTGTGTGCAAACTGAAGATGCACCGGTGAAGGGAAGAGACGTACGGTCATTGTTGTTGTCGCAAACAACCAATTCCTCAACTAGTCCGTACTGGCAGAGTTCGCACCAAATGTCCTCGTAAAAGGCATCAAAGTGCATCTGCATCTGCTGCGCATTCATCTTGTTCTTGGGGTCGTAGGCTGGGTTCTGGTACAGGTTCGGTAGCAGAATCGTCTGCGAGTACGACGGCTTGACGTGTTTTCGCGAGCAGCGGTCGCCGTGGCGGCACGCGCCAATCTTGTAGTAGAAGGAACAGTTTACTTTGTCTTGCTCGGTACCGAAGATGGAGGCGAGGTAGTTGGCCATGGCTGCGGGTTTGCGCGGTGGCAGTAAAGGGACGGAGACTCGAGGTTCGTTGGACGATTGGGGTTGCGAGGACGCCGATAAGGGTGAGGGAGATGAGGCGGTTGTGGCGGAGAGGCTTGTTGGTCGTGGTGGTTCCGGCGCGCGACTGGGGGAAAATGTCGCGATGCGCGAAGCTCTGTCTCCTAGGGCAAGGACGCTAGTGGCTGACAAAGCTGGGATGATGCCAAGGAATGGGCGAGAAGCGTCGGTGATTGCGAATGCTTTCCTCCACCTGCTTACTCGATATGATCAATCGCACCATTAGCCAGATTGTATGAAGAGAAGGTATTCTCATTTGGCTATCCCATGTCGAATGGATATCCAGAGTCGTCTGCAGAACAACGCTTTTACGACGGTGGCGAAAATGCAGTAACTCTATTTACCTACCTGTCGCAATTTGGATTTCTCTAGACACAGGTACAACTATATCTGTTTCGTAACACGCCAGTTTTAGTAGTGACTTTGTCACCTCACCAATTCACATTTCTTTCCCATGTCTAATTTGCTCTTCATGCCGTCTCCTTCCTGTGTAGCCTGATCAAAATCACACTCCGCGGACGAGGCCACCAAGCACAAAGCAATGGCTCCCCTGGATTCCGAGATAATTCTATATCTAATGACTCGATTGATATTGCCGACCCTGTTTAGCGAGCTGCCAGTACGTGCACACGGCTGGAGCAGGCAACCATTCAGAAGCTAGTCCCAATGGGGACAGTTGCCTGAAGAACTGATATAGAGGCGCATTGGAGTCGAGACATTGAATTCTATATAAGACGAACAGGATCAGTCTCAATGGCATCAAATCAGTATCTGTGTATTCAATTCTAGCTAACGCCTCACCTGTTCTTGAACTTTTGCATCTGGCACGTTATAGTGATCTCTTTCATACTACCCAACCGTCTACTGTCAATATGGCGCCAATCACGAGTCCCCTTCGCATTACCAACCTTGAGGATGGGGAAACAATTCATCAGGTATGATGTTCATTTCCGTACCCATAGTTTTTACTAAGTATCACCAAGCGCTGCCTACTCGTCACGGGAACATACGAACTTCCTGCTGCCGAGGGAAGCTACATACACGTAGCAACGAAAGCAGCGAACAAGTCCGAGACTTTTCCAGAACAGACATGGCCTCTGGCTGGAGGCAACTTCAAAGCCCTGGTCATGCTTTCGCCAGGGCTAAACATCCTCGAATTTGCATACGTCTGCAACGACTGTCTTGAACATACCATCGAGGTTAACGTCAATCATTGGCCACTCTTGCAGTATCCACCTCTTCATCTTGCTATCATGGTTGCTTCGGACTCGCCTTGTGTTATTGACTGCCCGCCTAACAAGGCCGCTGGTGTCTCATCAGCACATTCAGATTTGGATGCCGCCATCGCTAAACTCCGCATGACGGCGTACATGTGGCAAGCCATGACTGCCGAAGATCTCAGATTACATGGTGTTGGACGACGCTCGTTTAGATTGGATGAAGAGTGGGTAGCTGATACAACCAGTCGGGATTTCCTCAATGCGCGAATGGATCAGTGCCTGGAGCGTGAGGGCGCCATGCGGTCGACTGCAAAGGTCAATGTCATCCGCTCTTCAAAAACTGTTGAACAGATCCGGAACGCGAACATTGCCCAGCAAAATCCAAGGGCATATCGCAAGAATGATCTTTTCGATTTCTTCCAAGAGGCTCTCAAAGAGGCTGGAGGACCGTTCGCTTCCAATGCTCGCCCGATTGTCGCTGGTCTGATCCTCGATTCTCATTACAACGTTTCCAAAAAGCTTATTCTTGGACACGCTGCTCTTGGTTGCCATAACCCCGAAGGACTCTCGCTAGGCATGTTCGGCAGCCACCTGACCTACTCCTGGCCGCGCTTCATGGAGGAAGTCACTAGCTGCTTGACAGATACACGGGCCCCAGGTGACAAAGTTGGCAACGACAATGGTGAATGTGCCACCATATGGGAAGCATGCGCTATTGGACAAGGCGCTCATATTCATGAGGTAGGCCATGCCTTTGGCTCTCCGCATCGTCCTGGTATTATGGAACGTGGGTACGCCCAGGACTGGCCTAAGAACTTCCTATCTAAGACTGCGTACTCTGCCCATCTTAAAGAGGAGGGTGTTCTTGTGGATCTGGCAAAGACGCCAAATGAGGCTCGCTGGAACCTCGCTGACGCACTCGCATTCCGGATGCTCCCTCACTTCCGTCTACCCACTGATGCCGTCTTGACTGAAGAAGAGAGGAACGAGAAGCCGAAAGCCTTCGCTTCGAACGAGGACGAAGAAGGTCCCGCGACACTGAACATCAGCTCAGCCAGCGGTATTGTACGTATCACATTTAACCGCACCGAGCATTCGCAGCCTCTGGGTTGGCGCAACAACGCACCAAAGACGATGGAATACACCGAAGCCGACTTAGAACAACGATTTGACCGCACAACACCTCTACACCTCCAGATTCTCGCCTTCAACGGCAAAGAAACAAGCATTCGAGACGCCTGGAAACTTCTCTCCAGCAGATCCTTCGTCCGCATCCCCGGCTCCACTCTCCGCCTCACAAAGCACCTAGCAGTCCCACGCTCTGTGGTCATCAACCAAGAAGACGACGCATACGAATGGGCGCAGCTCCTCCGCGAAAAAGGTGCAGATGGCAAACTGCACCGCGCCGTCTCCATTGACTTCCGCGTAGGCTGCCTCTGGGACGGAGGCGTAGTCAAATACGCAGACGGCCACATATCACACTGGGGCCCCATGCAACGCTACGGGCGCAAACACGGCTTCGGTGGCCACGCATCCAAGAAGATTCGACTACCAGAGGGCGTCGAGATATCGTCGATAGAGGTAAACCCACAATCCGGTGTACGCATGCACCTTGCCGACGGTACATCAGCGGGTGAACTCAACACCCGCGGTGATACCGAAAACGTAATCACCACGTTAGCGCCTTCACCCGACGAAGTCATCGTGGGCTTCTTCGGCAAGTCTTCCAGGAGCGGTTTCTGTGGTGTGTTGGAGTTTGGCATTATTACTGCCCCCAAGGATGTGGGCTTGGACGGCTTGCCCGAGCAGGTGTGGGAGATGAGTGAGCTGAAGAATACGGCAGGGTTAGAGGAAGATGGCGATGATTATAAGATGGATGGGTATTACCAGCAGGAATATGATGAGGAGGAGGATGAGAACGATTTCGAGGAAGATGAGTATGTGGAGGAGGATAAGAAGATGGTGCTTTGACAATGGTTTCGGGAACCTTGCATGCTCAACTTGAGATCAGTTCGACCTGAAATAGACGCAGTAGTAGTATGGGTTTGGGATACTGTTGTGGATATGGTACTGTGTAGCATGTGTGTAAGCTGGTTCACGTGGCAGTTTATGAGATTGCGGTTTAATTTTTGTTAAGTTTAGGAGCATAGTCTGTCATCAGAAACAAGAGATTTGCAAGTGCTATGTTCTTAGATGATTCTAACGAAGATTGTGAGCGCGAGGACTTCTACGTTGTGAAAAAGGTATTTACCCTGTTATGGGAGAGCGGATGTGAGATATCAAGAAAAGAACATCACGTGGTATAAGGATGGTGGCTGGCAGAATGTGCATTGGTATAAAACAAGCAGTTGTGACTAACGATTTGGACATAATGCACATGACTTGTCGAGCGATGTGGAGTTATCGCTGCGGATGCTGACTCAAGGTGCTTCTTAGACGCCATGATAGCTCATCTCTTAGATGTCGGCTGATTGTTATGACCTTTTCCTCCATCTCATACTGGTACCCTCGCAATGCGTGTCGCATATCATTTCTACCTGCTCTTCTTGCCCCTCGTTATCATTAGCCAGCGTACGTCATCGCGGGATTAAGATCGTCGACAATTAATAGTTGAAAGCCCGTACCTAGCTACGGGGAAAGTTCACTCTACCACATGCACGGACGTTTCTGGGAGCAAAGGCCGCTAAACAACACGTGGAAGAGCCACAAGCAGATGGAATTTCGGCTCTACGTCATGGATAGGTGCATTTGCCCCCGTTTCCAGGACGGGTCGCAAGGTCGCATGCAAGCAGGCACCTTGAATAGCCGATCACTGTACTGTGACAGGAAAGCGTGCGGACCGTGAATGTACCCGATTCATATTAGCGTTCGCTGGCTAGTATACATACTCCCTTAGCCTACAAGTGTTCGTTGAATACTCTCTTACGCAAGCAACTAATCCATCGGGCTTCTGAACTGGTTGACGACTATACCGCTGCATACGGTCATACACCAAAGCGCAAACATGGTACGTATAGAAGAAGAGATTGCCAAGCATTTTAATGACCTCCATTCAAGTCCAGGCCGCACGTAGACAAAGTATACAACATCCTCAATGGTCTCACTGTTCCAGACGACATCTCCTCAAACAACGCGGATGAGAAGCTAATGTTCGAGAACAATGAGGCTGCGGAAGCCGCCATGCAAGAGCGCGAGACAAAGTGGTCAGGAGTAAAGGACGACGACACCATTCCCAAGAACGATGAGGAGCGCCGCTATTGGGTCACCCGCCTCCTTCTCGCCATGAAAAACCGCATCAATGTGATGGATCGAAATCCGAAAAAGCGCTGGCACCCAGAGAGGGGCTTTCACTACCCCGCAGATCAGATGGAGAGCGTGTGCTGGAGAGCTGTCGACGCTGCTGAGCATCTACATAAATGCGGCTTGAACAGCTTCCCCATCTACGACCAGGTGGTGATTGGAAAGATCCTCTGCGAGCAAAACCTCACGTTTGTGCAGCGCATGCGCGCATTGATCAAGCTGTTGTATTTCTTCAAGTCGCGATGCGATGCTTTCATGAAGGGCGTGGGCAACGAGGACACTATCGCCAACCCGCAGTATAAGCTGAAACAGTCGGTCGAGAACCGCCTGCTGAATGATGCCCGCGCCATTGAAAAGGCTACGAATCGAGAGATGCGTGGCATAGTCACCAAGAAAGGGCGCACGAACAAGACTCCGGCTATGGTTGTTGAAGAAGGCCACGAGGACGTGGAGGTGGGAGATGGAGATACCGAGACTGATAGCAACGCCCAGAATTCAGGTGCCCACTTGATCGCATCTCGCAAGCGTTCTCCTACACCTGACAACTGTATGTCTCTATCAAGCCATGCCGAGGATGTTGATGTTCATCAATCCCTTCGTTCATATGCCACCAAGTCACCCGAAAATGCTATTCAAACAACGTCTGATCGGGACAACATCGTCGCCAATGACAACGCGAGCGAAAATTCACTCAACGAGTCAATGATGCTATCAGAAGATGACTGGGACCCGTACGCGATTGACGACGTCGACAACACACACGCAACTGCACCCCATCCAGCTCTTAATAACACCACCTCCGTTGACAACAAGCGCAATGTATCTCCTGGAGCCCCAGATTTGGTTGCAAAGCGTCCGTGCAACTGTACCAAACAGAAGTAAAGTTGTTGGAAACTTCACTTGCGGCTCGCAGCGCATCCCTAGCGATCTAGCACTGAGCAATAGACGACGATTTGATGACTTGATGGTATGATTGATGTAGATATTGCACCACGGACAGGCTTTGCTGTACAATAACTGTACAATAGGTGCATAGAACAAGGAATCATGGAGTTTGAAATGGGAGACAGGTCATACCAAGACATTAAAACTCCAATGCAATGCTGTATTGAGAGAATTCGGCGATTGCCTTGCAGTGTGGCACAGTGACACGTAGCGTAAGACGCGAGGTACAAACCTCCAGCTATTGTCAACAGACAGCCGCATCAATACGAGGCAACGCCTCATTGCTCTCCCAGCATCTATATAAAAGCCGCTGCCTGGACCTCTACAATACATGCCCAGAAACTCCTAACTACATCATCAACTACCAAATATTAGCTACAGCAACAATCTTCCCAGAAACACTATTCTATTGATTAAAACCACCAGCTTATCATAAACAACATCTCCATATTATCCAAAAATTCAGCCTAGCCAAACTCACAAACATGCCTGCTGCTACCTCAAGTTTCCTGGTCTACAGCTGGCGCTGCTGCAGATGTACTGCACGCGTCCAAGCCCCCTGCGATGAGCCCGGCCAACAGGAGATCTTTTATGGTTTCATATGCTGCCTCAAATGCAACCACACATTGTGCCGCAGGTGTGCGTTTATGAGCGTGGAGAAACATGAAAAGGGTGCCGAAGTCAAGAAGGAGGAAGAGGACGACGACGAAAGCTGTAAGGTCAAGAAAGAGGGGAAGGACGACGTGAAGGTAAAGGTGGAGGCCAAGCAGGAGAAGTAGTGAGACATGAGTGTTATGTGAAGAAGATACAAGGGAGGATATGAGAAACATCGTAGTATGTATTTACATACCTTGATCTGTAATCTATCAAGTATCTAACACAATATTTTCAATGAATCAACCCTGAACCCAAACTTCTCAGTCCTTTTTTATGTAAACCTTGATATACTTAACATGCTCAACCCCTCTCTCATCCTCATACCTCTCACTAACAATTCTATACCCCCCAAACTTCGGCCACACCTTTGTCCAGCAAGCCCAATACACCACGCCCAGCAGCAACACACCGACACCCACAACAGGAAACACGTAGTACGGGTATCCATCTGCGTTCCAATCGCCATCTGGCGGGATAAAAGGGACGAGCGCGAGGAAAACGTTTGCGGCAAGGTACAGCAGGGCGATGGGGAGGTAGGTGTGCCATGGCGACTCCCAGCGTTCGCTCTTGGTGTATTGCAGGTATATGAGACCGGCGGTTACGAAAGCGTTGATCCAGGCGCCGGGGTAGGTGTAAAGATCCGTTATGAAGTTATACGCAGGTCCAGCGGGGGGCGCAACAAGTACAATGACGGTGATGAGCCAGTGAAGAAAAAGTGCAGCGGCAGGAGCGTTGAAGGGTTTGTTAGAAGCCCAGATACGACTCCAGGGAATGAGACCTTCCTTTGCAAATTCCTGGTTCAGACGCGCGTGAGCGAAGCTGACGGCGAGGACGTTGCCGAGATTGCTCAAGGCGACGAAGGCGGGGAGGCTACGGGCACCGGCGCTGTTGCCGAAGACGTTGCGGAAGAAAAGTCCGGCGACTATGACTTCGGATTTTGCGAGGTCAGATTTGGGAATCGCGGCGAAGTAGGCGACATTTGCGAGGACATAGAGGATTGTGGTGCCGCCGACGGCGAGGGGGGCGGACCAGGAGAGGGTTTTACGCGGGTTGCGGATTTCGCCTAGGACATAGTTTGCCTGGTCATATTAGATGAATAATTCTGATCTTGGGTTTGCTGGTTTCTTACATTTTCCCATCCCTTGTAGGAATATATAATACGCAGTAAGGCTTGGCAGTAGGCGTATGCACCGCCACCACCATAACCATCACCAATTTCTAGCTTGAACGCATTGTCGAAGTTGTGCGGCTGTTCAATCTTCAAATGGCCTGCCAAGGCAGCAAAGCCTGAACAGATGATGAAGAGAAGGATAAAGACTTTGAAGACTCCGAGGACGTTGAAGAGGCGGATCCCCCACTTTGGAAAGGTAGAATGCAAGCCGACACAGAAGGTTACGCATGCCACTGCAATACCACGCGCTGCCCAGCCATCGGGCGCTTCTGAGCCGGAAGCGAACAATACATAGCGGCCGAATGCCAAGGAGTTGCCGGATGAGAAGCCCAGCAGAAGCATTTGTGATGCGAGAACACATGTCGCAACATACTTTGGGTGACGATACACGCGCTCCAAGTAGTTCTTCTCACCACCAGACCGCGGGATGGCGAGACCAAACTCCAGGAATACAGACAGTCCACAGAAGGTGATGACTCCGCCAATGATCCAGAGAAAGAGCGATACACCAACAGATCCCGTCACAGCGAAGATACCGGAAGGGGTCGAGAAAATCCCGGTACCAATCATCTTGTTCAAGATGACAAACACCGTGGCCGTGTAACCCAATTTCTGCGAGTCATCGTAGACGTACGCATTATCGTCTTGTACGCTGCCGTCTTCGTAAATCGGGGGAGGGGGCGACGTTTCGTTGTTAGTGTACCGCGCAACCTTTGCATCGTCGTCCAATGTAGTCGCCATGCTTGAACCACAGCTTTAAAGCCGTTGGCAAACCCGCTGTGAGTTGAAGATAGATGTAAGACGAGGCCTCTCATCGACTGCACATTGGCGACACAAGGGTGTTCATATACCAGCATGTGACAGCGCGATAACGATATTCGCGCAGTGCCACGCGACATAAATTGCGAAACCACATCCTTCGATGTCGTGATCAACAAACGTCGACGTGCTTTCAGAAGTCTTTTGGTTACGAGTTCTATGGTCGAGCCACACCTAAGACTCCGGAAGAGGAAGGCGGAGCAGAAGTGTTGGACCGAGAGTCTTGGTATGCCGTCTTAGCGGTGCGCACAATGATCAAGGCCCATGTCGTCATCTCTGGGCATTATTGGCCTACATGTGATGCACTTGGCGACAGCAGAGGTTATCTTGAAGAGTTTTACACTGGTGAGGTTGTAATTATGAGCCTTTTTATGAACAGGTCGTGTTGGTGTGGATTCATGAGCAGTTTCAGCTCACAGTAGTTAGGGTCGTCAAACATCGACAGTGTTGGTAGTGCATGTTTAGGGCCGAACAAAGGTTATTCGACCTTGGGCATGTACTTAGGCATGCAAATAATCTTATATCAGATTATCCCGATAGATCAGGATAAGAAAGTAATAACACGCAGATGTTGCTTCGCTGAGGCAAAGCACCGGGGCAGCTATGAGTCCTGGACAG